CAGGTGCAAATTTGGTATTTCCTTCTAATTCTTTTGCTTGACTGAAAATTCTCCAATTATCATAGTTCATGTCTTTTATGAACAACTCTTCATAATTTTGCCATTAGTCTGAAGTTCATGTACTAGGAAATTTGTATGATCCCTTTGTGATATATATATCATGGCATGCTGGTCTTATTGGTTGTGTAAATTTTGGTGGATTGGAACAAAAATTAATTTTGTATCTCCCTTGAATACATGCTAATGTCTTACAAGCTTCTTTGATAGCTATTCCAATGTCTGATTGGAAAATTTTCTTCAAGTGTACCATATATATCATGGACTAACCCATGATCAATAATAGTTTGTAGAGAGATATCATCTCCAATATTTCTTTGTATGCTTCTAAAATATTTTAAATTTATATCAGCCCTCAATATTAAGAATCTTTGATGAGGCTTGACAATTAATTTATCATCGAGATGAAGTAAAGGAAAAATATTTGTATTCGCAATTATTCCTAGATGCCTTTCTTTTCCTTGGTATAATTTCATAAAATAATTTTGTATATCAAGAAAGGTTTTGTAATGCCTTTTAGCATATTTCTACCAAATTAGATCTATAATATCTCGAGTAAAGTATGACAAAATTTGTTCAGTCTTAAAACTTAATCTAGGAATAAGGAACTCTTGTGGAGTATTGTTTAAATATTTGTTACCTTTTTCCTCTAGAATTACTTCTTCTTCTTCTTCTTATTACACTTTATTTTTCTCATATATTATTTTAGCTTCTGACTCATTTTTTATATCATTCTGTTGTTTTAGACATGACATACATGCTTGTCTTAAACATAACCTACATGTTGCTCTTTGTGTTGGATCTTGATAATATATACAAAATACATATTTTATATTAGAATCACCTTTTTTATGATCCCACTTGTGTTCGCAGATTATTTGATCGATCATTTCTATCTTTATTCCTGCTAACTCATCAATTAAGTCTAACTCTTCTTCACTTGATTCTTTTTCTTCATCTGTCTCTATAATTGAGTACATCGATTCATCATCCATTATATCATCACCACAGACTAAAATATTTTCATTCACACTATCTATTATTAGAACCTTTTCTTGTTCTTCTTGCTTATTGGAATACCTTTTCTTGTCTTTATTAGGACATGTTTTGCTTAAGTGACGTGGCGAGTTGCAAATAAAGCATTTACATGTACTATCATAATTTTTCTAGGATTATACCTTCTTACATTTCTCTTGTGGAGGAATGGAGCTCTATTGTCTGATCTTCTTAGAAAATAACGTCTCTTTGTCCTTACATTTCCTTTCTTATAATTCTTAATATATTTCTTGTTTCTAGATCTCTCTTCTCCATATGTCGATGGTATTTGAACTATTTTATTACAGAAATTATAATATGATTGTTTCATTGATCTTTGGGCTTGTATGTTCGTGCATATTTTTCTTAACTGTTTGAAAACGAATGTTATAGTCTGAGAGATATTATATTCTTTACCATTAGTTTCTTTTTTATATTCTTTAAATATCATAGAACCTAAAGGATCTGCTAATTTATTAAAATATCTTTCAACTATACCTTGGTTATAGCCTTGCTTGGCAGTCGTAGCATTATACAAATAGTGTTGAGAAAATTCTTTTATTCATTTCCAGCTTGTTAATGATATTTTTTCTATTTCTTTTAATCTTTTATTCTGTAAGACAATATATCCTAATTCAGGATCTTCACCTATTACAATGCTTGATATAATATTTGCAAAATTATATGGGTTACTACCGGCCACTTTTAATTGGGCATAATGATTAGGGAAAGCTTCTACCCATTGTTCCATAAGACTTTGACTGATTCTCCTAAAAATGTTTCTAAATATGTAATCATATCTTCCACTCTATTTCCAATATTATGCTGATTTTGTATATACTTTTGGACTAACAATCCTTTTCATATGCTAATTATATTTGACCAATCTATAGGATCATGTGCTGCTAAATTTAATATAGCAACATCACTTCTATAATTCTAAAAATGAACCGTCTTTTCAAATTCTCTTCTTTTTGAACCCCTATGCTTATATTGTCCAGGTATATATCTATATGTAGGTTCTTGTTTTTCTGGTGGCCAAGTTCCTGGTTTTCTAGTTGGTCTCTCTTTTTCTCCTACTATCTTTATTTCCGGACCTCATCTTCTTTTTGATGAACTTGGATATATTTCCATTGCTTCTATAGCATTATTTTTATGCAACTCTTTATTTTCTAAGGAGTTTATGAGACTTACTGAGTTATTATAAATATCTCAATCGTATCTTCATCCTCTTCTTCATAGATTTCTAGTAAAAACTTATTATTAATTTCTCATTGCTCTTCTTCGCTTATATCATTATCTTCTATGTCTTTTATCTTATCTTTGCTATATTCTAATTCTTTTTTGGCTTCCCTTACCCTATTTTCTATTTGTTTTGACACAAATTCATTTTCCTTTATTGGAATGATAAATTTCTTATTATTTAACTCTCTATCTTTCTTGATGTTATTAAGTCTATATAACTCTCGTCTAAAGTAAAGTTCCTTTTCTCTTAGAGCAGCCCATTGGCATATCATAGAGGTTTTGTATTCATCATAAATTTTGCTTAACTTTTGCTCATAATGTTTTATTTCATTATCTATATCTAATTTTTTCATAAATTCACATATGTTATGCCTTCAATTTTCTTCTAATTTTGCCTCTGAACTGGATGCTTCTAAATCATCTAAACTTTGTTCTTTATAATCTACAAACCTAATACTAGTCATCCCTCTATTTTTTTCATAGCTTATGTAATCTTTAGATTGTTTTAAAAAATTTTATTCTATTAACGAGCTTACATTCCATTCTTCTCCCGCTCTTTCTTCAGAACTTATTTTTAGAGGACTCATAAATTTTATTCCTTTAGATTGCATACTTTCTATAACATTGTTCACATTTACCTTATATTTGGTTCCACTTCTGTTGGTTAACCTTCCTATAAATTATATGCTTACTAATAGATTTGTTCATTTAAAGTCTTCATAGCCTTTGGTCTGAAATCCAAAAACTATCTTATCTATAAATTCTTTTACTGGCATTATTAAATCTGGGGCTATATATGTTATTAACATGTTTTCATTCATATCACCTTCTAAAAATCCTAATGCTGCTTTGTTTATTGAGTCTCGTCTTTTATCTAATAAAGTTATTAAAACCTTGGTTCCTAATTTTTTCCTTGTCATTCCTTTAATTTCAATGATATACATTCCCTGATGTATATATTTATACCCTGAATATTTTAAAGTATTCTTAAATTGTTTACTAACAATTCTTAGCAGAGCTGGTTCTGTCAATACACTTAATTCTACTTCTCTAGATATTCTATATAATCCATTTTTATTTTCAAACCAACTCATTTGATATATTTGTTGAGGCCTTATTTTTTTAGAGTATCTTTCATATCTTTCAAGATCTCTTTCTACGTCTATCATTTCTTCTAAGGTTTCAATATCATCAGATCCTCCCTTTAGTTTATCTATAAAACCTAAAGGTCTTATGTCTCTATTTACTAGATGGAGTGACTTGTCTCTTCTAGAGAGGCTCTCAGATACTTTCATCTTTCTGAGTTTAAAGATCTAGTAAACTCTACTATTCCTGCGGCGGTGTTCTCTCCTTGCTTCTCTGCACTTGTCGACGACAGTCACTATGAATTAAAAAGAGTATTCTTGGATACTATCTTTCAGACAAGAGTATGTTTAGATATATATAATACATAATTAGTATTATTGATAGATATTTGAATTTAGTTTTTTAATAAACTTATTTGAAGATAGAAATGTTGCACGTAGTTTCTATAATTCGAGTCAAAGTTATCGGCACGAAAATCATAACGGCAAACATTTAGGAACGAGGTATATATATATATATATATATATATATAGTAATTATATATATAGGAAAATTATTTGCTACTCCCTAAAAGCAGTTACTCCTTCCTTCTAATCACGCGTACGTACGTCCGGCGAACCTGCCCGCTCACGTTCAGGGATGAAAACGGATCAGATTCGAACGGATATCACTAATATTATATTTGTTTTCACATTTCTAGTCGGATTCGGATTCGAATACGGATAGTGTCAGCCATGCCGGATTGGATACGATTAGATGTCGACATCATAAATATGCGATTTAAGTATTCGGATACGGATACGGTATCGGATGTTGAATATCCGGACTCAGATACGGACAGATTTGAACCCCTCTAAACTGATTCGGACTCGAATACGGTCGGAAAATATTCGTACCGTTTTCATCCCTACTCACGTTTAACCGCGGTGGCAGGCTGCTTAGTGGGTTGAAAAAAACCTAACCCGATACGTACATACTCTGTTATTGTACATGTATGTGCACATACGTACGTACTCCAGGTATCATATACTACCTATTCTTTTAATATGACCAGGCACCATACTACATATTTTAATTTTAATTGTACAGAACATACTCGCACGGACCAAATCGTGCTTATCCACAGAGCAGATGAAACAATCCACGTAAATCACGGTGAGAGTTGCGGTCGCAGTCAACAAACATATCGGATCTAATTAATAGATCCGCTAAACAGATCACCTAGTTTAATCGGATGGCATTTTATGAAGGGAGTAATTACTCGCGGAAGTATAGAAAATACACCATATATATAATAATGTCAAACACACAGGGATCGGAATGGATGAATAACCATTTATTTATTTTGTTTATTTCATGAGATAACTCGATAGCATGAAACAAACATATGCATACAGGGGCATTGACCGCCCGATCACAACTTGAACAACCCGGGATCAAAGTAAACATGCTAGCTCTGCTACACGCACTCTAAAGATCAAAGTAAACGTGCTCATGCAGGATTGGTTAAAGCAAACATGCGTGCATATTATTATTGAACTGGCATGTATAAATATATTGTGCGTGCAGAGTGCCCATTAATTAATTAATGAATTATGTAATTTATTACGCGTCAGCGTGATCTGAGCCAGTAGTTGTTGCCGTGCCGAAGGGCTTCTGGTTGTAGCAGTCAAGTTGTCGCCGTAGCTGACACCAAGGATGTCACAGAAGCGCTTGTAGAACCCGATCCGATTCTCACTACGGTCGTCGGGGACGCCGTGGCCGCACTCGTCGCCGTCGATGATGTTGGTGATGACGCCGAAGCCCGGCACCCGCCCCGCGTCCAGGTCGGCGGCCGAGGGGCTCCACTGTCCCGTGACGACGCCGTGGCACGACGGCCTGGTCGGCCGCGCGCGCGGCGCCATCCAGGACCCGATGGCCGTCTCGAAGAAGACGACGGCGTCGGTGGTGACGACACCGGCCGGCTTGTAGCAGAAGCCCCAGGCGTAGGTGCCGTTGGGCGCGCCGTCCCACCCGCCCGTGGTGTCGTGCGACTCCTGCGCCAGCCACGCGGCCACCTCGCGCTTCCGGGTGTCGACGTCGCCCGTGGTGCCGAAGCCGGCGGACGCGTCGGCAGCGGCCGCGGCGATGAAGGCGTCGTAGGTGAAGAAGCCCCTGGCGGGACAGTTGTAGTCGTTGCGGTGCGGCAGCAGCTCCTCGAAGAGCGACGGTGAGACGATGGACGCCACGCTGCTGGCGTCGCAGCCGTTGCACTGGCTCTGGCAGCCGGCGCCGCAGTAGGCGGGGCTGGAGCCGCAGAAGCCCCATTTGCTGCAGCAGAGGCAGTCGGGGCAGAGCGGCGTGGTGGCGTTGGCGCCGCACTCCGGCGGCTCGCCTCGCGCCGACACGGCCAACGCAGTGGCTACCATGGCGACTACTGCCAGCGTTCTCATTATCATCATGGTCATGGCAAATTAAATTGGCAAGCTTAGCTAGGTGGATCGATCAATAGAGTATACTGCAACTGCTGGTGATCTGATATTCTGATGAGTGTGTGTTTTGCAGAAGCGGATGCAGAGCGTCTCGTCCTTATATAGGCGCTGCAGAGCAGAGCAGCTGGTAGTTGGCACCATGCATGCATGCATGGATCACGTGCTTGCTTGTTCATCACACAGCAGAGATCACATATACGTACAAGCGGCTTTAATTTACCACTGAGGGACCAGTGCAGGACCCACGAATATCACATGGCATCCATCATCGGTCCACGGGCACATTCATCATGGTAAAGCAGCAAGTAGGTAGCTAACTAGGTGGATTAGTGTGTGTGTGTTGCAGAAGCGGAGGGAGAGCACATGTTTTTTTTAGAGTAAAGTGTACCAGCGGTCCCTAGACTTATCTGCATTATATATGTCATCCGGTCACTCAAACTTATAATCGAGTTTAGGTCGCAAACTTGTTCATCGTGTAAATCTCGGTCCCTAAACTTGTTAATTTGTGTCATCCGGTCCCTAAACTTGCAAATCGATCGTTTAGATCCTCAAACTTATTGAGTTGTGTCATTCAGGTCCCTAAACTTGGTTTTGAGTCTCGAAATTTATGGGTCAAAAGCAGGGTGATCTAAATACTTTATATCAAAAATAATTCATAACGTTTACATATGAACTCGAATGAAGAACAAACTTTATATCAAAATTGAAGCCCTAAACGCGATCTACGATTTTGTAGTTGAAAAGTTTTTGAATTAAAACTGTTTAGGGTCCCAAAATATTATTGTCTGTTTATAGATTTTGAAATTGAAATTTAAAATTAAATTTTGGGACAATAAATTACTTCAAACAAAAACTTTTCAACTTTGAGTTGTAGATCGTATTGAAAACTATAACTTTTATATAGACCATTAAATATATCAATATTGTTTGTTAATTTTAAATTTTAAATTTCAAATTCCAAGATTTTGAAATTTGAAATTTAAAATTATCAAACAATCTTTAATTATTGATATTCATATACAAAGTTATAGATCTCAATACGATCTACAACTTTGTAGTTGAAAAGTTTTTTGTTTCATTCGAGTTTATATGTAAATTTAATTATGAATTATTTTTTGATATAAAATATTTAGATCAAACCATGTTTTTCTTTATGAGACTCAAAACCAAGTTTTTGGACCGGACGAATATTAATTGAACACAAGTTTGACGACCTAAATGGTCGATTTGCAAGTTTAGGGACCGGATTGACACAGTTGTAAACAACTTTAGGGGACCGAGATGACATGATGAACAAGTTTGAGGACCTAAATGGTCGATTTAATTGAAGTTTAGGTACCCGGGATATTTGCTGTAATACAAGTTTAAGGACCGCCGGTGCACTTTACTCTTTTTTTATGTACACGCATTGTTAGCTACTAGATCCAGCCCATGCTTGCATATTTAATTTGCATACTCGTGGCTCACGCGCTTGCCTCTTCATCATCACTCATCAGACAGAGATCACGTGCATTCATGCATGCGATGCTGATCCAGAGTGCTCCTTTTGCAACGAGAAACGAACGAACGGATTTCACGTGGAAACAATGTACCCTACGTATGGATGAGATGCATGTCGGCGTTTATTATCTATCTATCTATCTATCTATATATATATATATATATATATATATATATATATATATATATATATATATATATATATATATATATATATATATATATATATATATATATATATATATATATATATATATATATATATCACACAAGCATAGTCGCACGACCTGCTAAAACGTTGGTCTCACCAACCCGCAAAACATCCTGAGAAGCATAATTTGCATACGCATATTCACTGATCACAAACATACTAATCACACACGCATCCTGTGTTTAATCCACTATAAGAGCTTCAAATAGTGCCTAAATAGTAGCAAGAAAAGGCAAGTGCTCCAAATAGTTGCAAAAAGTAACTATTTCTACAGGGTCTATCATGCTAGAACAAACTCCAACTCAAAATTCAAATTTAAAATTCTTGATTTACTATTCATAGCACTATTCAAATTCAGCGGTTACTATTCAAATTCGTGGCCCTATTGAAAATACTCGCTACTATTTAAATTTAGAATATGAACAGTACACGAGCACTCACCAGAGAGTGGCTCAGGCACCCAAACTCTTTTACAACTATTTGGAGCACTTGCCTTTTCTTGCTACTATTTAGGCACTATTTGAAGCATTTATAGTGGATGGTGGATACAGGATGCGTGTGTGATTAGTATGTGCGTGATTAGTAAATATGCGTATGCGGATTATACTTCTCAGGATCTTTTGCAGGTAGGCGAGACCAACGTTTCAGCCGGTCATGCGAGTATGCTTGTGTCAGTCCTACTCGGTACTCACCGTATGCATCACTAGCTCACTGCAGAACCGGGCTAACCTGGTCTTCCCCCTTGCAATCCCCAGCCACGCACACACAGGACTCAGGCTCTATCGTCTCCCCAGGCAATTTCACCCGAAGGGAACACTTCTCTACGCACACAGGGTTCTCTACAAACGCCGCTACTAGGGCTAACACGAGAACAACACACGCAGAGGTTTCTTCTCTAGGGTCCCTAGTATAGAGACATCGCCCCATATGAACGAGCTTAAATGAAGGCAGGGATTAAACACAGGAAAGCTTAATTCATTTCCACATAGCAAACTTACATACGGTTTTCTCTTTCGGGAAACCCCAAGCACTTAGCACAAACCTTTTGGATTACCTTACAAGCCGCGGGGAAGGTCATGGGACTTCCTTTACTATTGCCCTAAACGACTAGGCGGTCTTTGCGTGCTTTAATAATTGTCCGACTACAATAGAGTGATTGTATATTCCTTTTGCGTTGTCCTTCATCGCGCATACGATCTTATCCATACGGATATTTCTTGGTATGGTCTTTCCACGGCCGAATTAAGGATTACGGCATGTAGTATTATCTTTCCCCGGACGAATTGTTGATAACACCATATCAACATAGGGAGTATATTTCTTGTATAGAACATATATATTGATATTGAACTGAGTCTATATTGACTCTTCTTATTACTCCTCAATATTTTCTTCGTTGTCCACTTTTTCAGGTTGCCATATCTCGTACCAGGACAACAATTCACGATATTCTTTTCGTAATTGGCATTCTTTGCCATAACTAGGCTTTATTAGTCTTCCAACTTTTCTTTGTACTATACTATATCTTTCATAGTATTCTCTTAAGAATACTTTTATTATTTTATTTTGGTACATCATATAATATTCAGGTGCAAATTTGGTATTTCCTTCTAATTCTTTTGCTTCACTGAAAATTCTCCAATTATCATAGTTCATGTCTTTTATGAACAACTCTTCATAATTTTGCCATTAGTCTGAAGTTCATGTACTAGGAAATTTGTATGATCCCTTTGTGATATATATATCATGGCATCTTTGGTCTTATTGGTTGTGTAAATTTTGGTGGATTGGAACAAAAATTAATTTTGTATCTCCCTTGAATACATGCTAATGTCTTACAAGCTTCTTTGATAGCTATTCCAATGTCTGATTGGAAAATTTTCTTCAAGTGTACCATATATATCATGGACTAACCCATGATCAATAATAGTTTGTAGAGAGATATCATCTCCAATATTTCTTTGTATGCTTCTAAAATATTTTAAATTTATATCAGCCCTCAATATTAAGAATCTTTGATGAGGCTTAACAATTAATTTATCATCGAGATGAAGTAAAGAAAAAATATTTGTATTCGCAATTATTCCTAGATGCCTTTCTTTTCCTTGGTATAATTTCATAAAATAATTTTGTATATCAAGAAAGGTTTTGTAATGCCTTTTAGCATATTTCTACCAAATTAGATCTATAATATCTCGAGTAAAGTATGACAAAATTTGTTCAGTCTTAAAACTTAATCTAGGAATAAGGAACTCTTGTGGAGTATTGTTTAAATATTTGTTACCTTTTTCCTCTAGAATTACTTCTTCTTCTTCTTATTACACTTTATTTTCCTCATATATTATTTTAGCTTCTGACTCATTTTTTATATCATTCTGTTGTTTTAGACATGACATACATGCTTGTCTTAAACATAACCTACATGTTGCTCTTTGTGTTGGATCTTGATAATATATACAAAATACATATTTTATATTAGAATCACCTTTTTTATGATCCCACTTGTGTTCGCAGATTATTTGATCGATCATTTCTATCTTTATTCCTGCTAACTCATCAATAAAGTCTAACTCTTCTTCACTTGATTCTTTTTCTTCATCTGTCTCTATAATTGAGTATATCGATTCATCATCCATTATATCATCATCACAGACTAAAATATTTTCATTCACACTATCTATTATTAGAACCTTTTCTTGTTCTTCTTGCTTATTGGAATACCTTTTCTTGTCTTTATTAGGACATGTTTTGCTTAAGTGACGTGGCGAGTTGCAAATAAAGCATTTACATGTACTATCATAATTTTTCTAGGATTATACCTTCTTACATTTCTCTTGTGGAGGAATGGAGCTCTATTGTCTGATCTTCTTAGAAAATAACGTCTCTTTGTCCTTACATTTCCTTTCTTATAATTCTTAATATATTTCTTGTTTCTAGATCTCTCTTCTCCATATGTCGATGGTATTTGAACTATTTTATTACAGAAATTATAATATGATTGTTTCATTGATCTTTGGGCTTGTATGTTCGTGCATATTTTTCTTAACTGTTTGAAAACGAATGTTATAGTCTGAGAGATATTATATTCTTTACCATTAGTTTCTTTTTTATATTCTTTAAATATCATAGAACCTAAAGGATCTGGTAATTTATTAAAATATCTTTCAACTATACCTTGGTTATAGCCTTGCTTGGCAGTCGTAGCATTATACAAATAGTGTTGAGAAAATTCTTTTATTCATTTCCAGCTTGTTAATGATATTTT